ACTCTGCGGCCGCCCCTCAATTATTTTTTTTTTGCCCAGAGATAACATGTGTCAAAAACTTTTAAGTAAACCTTGATGCCGCCCACGTCCTGTACTGCTCTTTAGTTGGAGAAGACAATTCTGACCATATTAGATTGTCTCCAAGGAGTACCTGCCCTTTTGAGCTAGTTCTAAAAATAACACCTTTCCAAGTTAAACATTTCTGTTTAATTACACTACTGGCCCTGCTCTCAAAGTCCTTCTTCTTAAGACTGAAAAAAAAAAGAGAGCATTCAGATTTCTGCATGTGGCTGCTGGTAACAGAAGAAAAGCAACAAATACGTGCAAGAAAAATCATTCAGATTGGCTTTTTTTTTTAATACACTTGTGTAATTAACACGTTAACTTTGACTGGATCTCCCTTTCCTGTTAAAAATTGCTTTCAAAGCTGTCTACTTCTATCATTCCAGATAAAAATGCAATTATTTACTACATGTGAATTGTAAAATGCAGGCAGCTATTATATACAGACAAAAATTATGCACTGCTTGCTGAGACACACCACATGCCTCATGTTTACATCCTGTATGTTTGCTAGCTTTAATTATTACAGACAGGAGCTCTTTAGTTCACTCAAAGAAGAGCTTTCTTTGTACATTTGTACCATCATCTAAATTCACTGGTAGTCCAAATGACTACTTTTCTATAAGAAATTATTTGATAAACTTGAACAAAAGCATTGAAGGAAGAATTATAAAATAATTCAACAGTAAAGGTCTCACTAACTTCAATAAAACTTGTATTTTACTATTTTTATGCATGAATTTTCATTTTCTATTAGTGGAAAAACCTGGTAGGCACACTTAAATATCAGACACATAACACTTTCCACTACAAAGACTTTCACAACTTTTTTGAGAAGCTCTGACACTTGCCTGTCTGCAGGCAGCCTTTGAAGTTCCCTGGAACAGCAGAGATGCTCTTTGTCTCACAGCAATCCATTCAAGTTAAACTGAACTGCTTTCCTATGCCTGCTTGCTTTTTTAATCAAGCATTAAAAAAGGTGGCCTCTCAAAAGCCACAAAGGGCTGGGCACCTGGTGCCTCTGACAGAACAGAGGCAAGGGTGCTGTGAGCACTGGGAGGCTGCTGAGGCCAAGAAGCAGAGGCAGGACACAGAGCGGAGAGGAGGATGAAACAGGTCGGACTTTACCTGTTGTTCCCCTACAAAGCACAGAACCCAAAGATCCTTTCCCTATTCCTCCAGTAACAACCTCATCAAATAAGGCAATTACCCGAATTAGAAATCGCCACTGAAGGCTCAAATCCCATTAGGGATTTTTTTAAAGCAACAAGGGAAGTTTATACCTCCACGTAGTGTAATTTTACAAAATAAAACCCAAACAAACACACAAAAGGGGCTAAGCCTTCCAATTCCAAGAGGTTCCATGTTTGAAACTAATTTGCAAGGTTATTTGGGCTGAAAGTAAAGCTCTTGAAAATTTGGAAGCACCACATTTAGAACAGCCTGTTACTTTAGCTCCATTTGCATTAATCCTCCTCTCAACTACTAAGCTCACATTCTACTCTTCCTGCAAATCATTGCCTCATTCAGTGAGGAGGGTGGCTCGTAACACAGACCTGGATCTGCACAACCCTAAATCAGGTACTTGCTAACTCACAGGTCTAACTGCAACCAGTGGATTTGAACATTCACGTTCAAAGGTAGTTTCATTTGTGTGCAATGCTACAGGCACACATGGTGCTTTACAGATGCAAGGAAAGATACAAAAATTGCCCCAAAGAAATTTTAGTTAAAACACATCAAAGCAACACTGAACTTTAGAACATGATAAAGTGCACGTGAGACAGACGAATAAACCAAGAAATAAGCTGATGCTGCAATTTATAATGCTTAGTTGATAAACATTATTGACAAGTATTATTAGAAAACCTCCAGTGCTACTTGAATTTACAGGGCCTGGCTTCACTCTATTCATGCAAACCCAGTGATTTCAATGGGATCACATGGAGACAGCAGGTTTCACTGGGACCTTGTAACTAAATTAAGAATTAAACCTAATACATCAACTTGTCACACCAAATCCTAAGCTCAGCAAATGGGTGGGCTGAAATATGACAGACTGAGGCAACCCTGCTGCTGCCCACAACACACCAGCTACAAATTTGGAGGAAAAAAGGTTTCAATTCACCTTGGACAGAAACCTCTAGAGCCAAAGAATGAACAACGGCAAAGTTCTACCCCAGAGCATTAAGAAGCCTTTTACTATTTTTTTAAATTATTTTTCTCCTGAAAATGACATTTCACCAAGCATGCTCATATCCATCTGCACTACATACATACTCCCAAAAGTTAAAAAAATTTTCCAAGTCAAAAAATCCAAAACTCTCCATTTTCCAACACCGTTGATTCCAAACTTATCCTCATATTACTGAACCTAACAAGAGTGTAGCAAATACCCTACAGCAACACACAGTATCACTCTAGAACCAGTGAGGAGAGGAAAAGGAGGACTCAAACCTCAGTCATCCTCTCATATACCAACTAGCAACACAGATTCTTCAAATGGTACTTACTGGACACTTTAGATGTTAACACATGTGGCAGAAAGGACTCCAGCTCAGTCTCCTATATCAGTATTGGTTCTGCAGTGCTCCTAGGGATAAAGTATTTTTTCTGTGAGTTAATCCCATTGTCCAGGAAGCAGTCTAGCTGAGCACCACTGAAGTAACTGAAGTAACACCCCATTTCCTGCCCCGATAAAAGATGCAGTTTTGTCCTGCATAACACAATTCAATCAATTCTTGTGCTATTGCCAAGCAATACAACTAATTTAAACAAATACTGATGATGCAGGTAAATTTTAGTCATGTCAGGCTCTTTCAGGGCAGGGCAGCTTCTTCTCCTAATTTGGACCTAATCACATGCAGCAACATGGAAACCGTGCGCTTCATCTTGCTGGAGACTGTGCTAGTTCTGTCCCACCAGGCTAAAAGTAATCTGTGATGCAATATCAGTGCAGCGTCAGACCCCACAGTGCAGACACCATCAGAGACAAACAGCAAGCTGCCAGGTAGACAGGTTTGGGGGAGTCACCACTGAACCACGCTGGTGTAACAGCACTTCACTACTGGGGGCCAGGAGAGGCAAAGCACAATGAGCTCTAAGCATCTTGTACAGGGCACCTTCAGAATTGTAACCACACTTGCATCCAACTAACCTTTGGGAGTCGGCACAGTGAGAGGGCAGACAGCTACACTGTTATGGTCTGCATCCATGCTGTCAGTCAAGATCTGAAAATACTTCAGCTGAGTAGCAGGCTTGCACTGGTACTCACACTGCAAGCATACGTAGCTCACATCTTAATTTTCCTTCTGGCCTTTTCTGTGCAAGTTCAGACCTTTATCTCACCTACTGCTCCAGTTTTGTGGCTGGAGTAGCAGAATATCTGAAATATCTGCTATCTGAAATAGCAGATGTGTACTCTTGCTTCGTGTCCTTGCTGTCCACTGCTGTCTTTAGCACAATTACTACCCCATAACCACATCTAAACTTGTGAGCAACTACCACCTCTTTTCACCCTTCAGGCAAAAACAGCATCTTGCCCTAAACAATTGTGCAATGCGTAGCATCAGGACAGAGCTGCAAAAACTCCACTTTGTTCAGAAACACAGGGCAATGAGTAAGGTGAATACACGCATGCATCGCTTTGGAAATGGGCTCCTCGCTCACACCATCCCCTCACTGACCGTGGGCACATTCCTCCCAGCATTTAGGAACCACAACACGTTTAAAGCAGCACATACTTGCTTCTTATTCTGCATCCTCTGTAAATGAGAAGTATTCCTGCTCTTCTCTGCACAGAGTATTCTGCCTCGCAAGACAGACACTGTTCACAGCATCAAGACACACATTTTACCACACAAGATACCTGATGCACAGTGCTAATTGCAGTATCTCCTTGCAAAGCATCTTTAAGCTACCATTGTACACTCTCATTTATAACCCCCACCTAACGTGACTGTGGTAGCAATAACCCTTTTACAAGTGTCCTGCAGGAACTCGCAGCATCTTCACACGAGCTATCCAAAAATTATTATCAGCATTGTTCCATCTCGTCCACACTTGGTTAGTAATGTTATTACAGCACGTTAAAAGTACAGAGGCTGCTTACCCCTGTTTATATAAATTCCAGTAATAAGTGTTGCAAAAATAGCAGGATTCCTAAGAGTCACACAGCAAAGCAGCAGTTCCTGACTGAGTGCCTGTGAGTGCCCTGCGTTCAGACAAATGAGCCTTCTCTGCTGATTGCGTTCACAGCTGTAAATACCCCTACTCCATTACTCATTTCACTTCTTTTACACATACAGTCTTCTGCAGCTGCTACAACTGGTGGCAGGTGCAGGCTCTAATACAGAGCTTGTAGATCAGCTTGCTCTTAAACTTTCATGTAAGAACCAAGCAATTTTGCAGACACAGTTAGCAGAACCTTTTCCTAACTTCAGTATACTAACATGCTTTGAAACCATGCACATTCACATACTACTATTTTTAAGAAAAGTTACTGGGACGTGCTGTCCCGGTGCAGCTCATCAGTCCCCACAATTTAGATTTCACCTCTACAAGTCTAACAAAAAAGGCCTATTAAGTTTATTATATTTTATGGAAGGCAAACCATAAAATTCCCTAGTAGAAAGCACTCTAAATGGATTTCGACTCCAGAAAAGAAACAACTATTGCTTTTCTCGTTGGGGCAAGCAATGGTGCTACTCCAGGACAGGGGGATTCCAAGAAGCAACGCAGCGCCTTACAGACACGGAGCACTCTTGCGTGAAGACACTGCTGAGGCACCACCGTTGGCTGGGTTTGCACACACAGACAATAAAGGCAACTTTCACGCTCAGGCATTACCGGGGCTGTTCGTATTCGGGGTCCGCACGTCCGAAGCTGTCCAGCCGGGCCCGTCCGGAGGCGCGCGGGCCGCGCCGAGCGGAGCCGGGGACGGCGATGCGTCGGCACGGCCCGCAGGCCGGCGTTGCGTAACGGCGCCGAGCCGCCGCTGCAGCATCGCAGCGCGCGGAGTAGGGACTGCCTTGGTTCAGCAGATTGTCCGGTGCATGGCTGAGAAAGATCACACCAGCGCAGTTAAGAATACCCGTTTGCTGTGGTAAGCCGTGGTTTGAGTAGAACAAATTAACTCAACACAAAATTAAATGCACAAAAAAAAAAGAAAAGAAAAAAAATGAAGTAAAACGCCCCAAGGTTAAGAACCTCTTTAGTGCTTTAATTTAAGGTGCTTTAAATGGGCAAAATAATAGAGACTGAAATTCAGGTTTTGACAATTATCTCTCCTGTGTTTTGGAACAGCTGCTGGTAGCAGCAAGCTGCTATTACTGCTGGATGAATCTTAAAAAATCAAAATCATTATTACGAAGACTAATTACACTCAATTCCTGATGAGTAAAGTAAATATCTAAACTCTTACAAGTTTAAATATCTAAACTCTTATGACATGAGTTCTGATTACTGGATCTGAGATGACTGACATTTGAGAGCTGACATCATGAGGGACACTACATCTGCCACTGAGGTATGAATAAAAATTAACCAGGCAGAGACAAACTTCAAGTTGCATTCATTTCAGTTGATTTCTTACCAGACTCAGGGATGAAGCTTGGAAGCAAAAGTGGCACAGAAGAAATCAGTAGGCACACAGAATCATAGAATAGTGGTGGCGGTTGTTTTCCAGGACTGATCGTGATTTTTTTGAATGCAAAGGTTTAATAATTCCCCTCACATAAGCACACACAAGCTTGAAACTGGAATCTCTATCTCAAAATTAAAAATCTGTGGTATGACTACAGTAGTTACATTGGACAGAAACTTTGTACCTTTGCCAATGTCTGTATGAATATCTCACACAATAGAACTGGGGTTTCAGATGGAAATTTGCAGTTGTTTGCAAGCTGCTTAGGAAATTTTGGCAATGCAAAGTTTTCCCTGAAATTCACTGTAATGTCTCCAATTTCAATTTCAACACCATGACGACAGCTTTACCCCCTGTTTTAGTATATAATTAATCCTAGACATACTTTAGTGGATAAAAATGAAAATGTAAACCTAAATTTTTGCTGTAGAGATTTCTAAGATAAGAGGACTCAGCCATTTGTTGTCACTTCAGCAAACTGCAATGGAAAGAATTTTGAAGAACTGTTTCCAAACCAATTGCCCTGTCAACCAAAGCACACTGAGATTTGTGATCTATTTGTCATCTGCTTTAGCTTCCTGTCTTTTGTCTGAATTTCCTGATATTGTGGTTATCCCATCCTAAAAGAAACTTCTAATATATAAATTTGAGTGAAACATTGTTCTTATACAGATATAAGATCTCACCTGTAGTTCTTCCTTATAGAGATCCTCATTTGTTTTGATGCCTTAGGTTTTAGCTTTTATATTTTTCAGATTCTATACTGCTTTAGTGTGTAGTTCTGATCTTGGTACTAAGGGATGGTGAGCTCTCTTCACAGAGTAGGGAGACAAAATAATTCCTTTCCTAGCTTGGGCCCAAGGACTACCACCCAAATTTCAGGCCCAAGAGGACAAACAACGTGGACTGAAGAGAGAAAAACGAAAAGGATGGGCCTTCATAATTTAAATCCATAACTGGACAATTAACTCCAATATACAAATGGACCAGAACTTATAAAAGCGAGAGACCTCGTGACCAATTGTCCATTTGGGTTCATCTTGGCTGTAGCCCTGGCTGGGCTCTTGTGCTGCCCAAGGTGGATCTCTTGAGGTCTTTTAATAAATCCCTTATAAATTCACTCCATCTAGCCTCTGTTCCAGGCCAGCCTTCACAAGGCATCCGTTGCAGGCAGTTTGATGGATTTTTTCTGATGCCTGATGATTTTCTGTGCTCAGATCAGTTATGAGCTTCAGACACTGCAGGTAAGAGAAGTTATACCTAGGTGAGAAAAAACAGACTCCTTTTAACAAGACTTCAGGACAGTTCCTAGCTCTTGGAGAAAGTATGAGGTGTAGACTATGACTGCTTGACAGGCATCAAGGACATCTCAGAAGGAAATTTATATTTAATCAGCATAATAAGCAATTTTTAAAAATTTTCCTCTTCATTGTTTTCATAACCAAATATTTGAGATCAATATTGGGGCAGAATGAGATTTTACCTTTTTTGATTTTTAGAAAGAATATGTAATGCAGTAAAATCCCATTCTCAAAGACAGCTGTAAAGTGCAACTTAATCTAAATGTACAAACAATGTATATTTGAAATAGCCACGTGACTGAAACGATCTTCTTTAATTTGGGGGAGCATTTATATAGAGATTAATTTTAAGAATGTTTGAATAGCAAAGATCCATAAACCAAAGCCCAAATCATTATTCAGTGCTTGCTTTTTATCTGCCTGTGCTCATTAAGACTTACAGGTACTGTGGATGCTGAGGCAGGCTAACCAGTAAAAGTACACAAAACCAAGAGGCAATACAGATTCTGATTTAAATTGATGGAGAGTAAAGCACACAGGTTCATTTAAAGACAAATCTAACAAGTTCAAGACTAGTTCCAATATATCTCAGTATACACAGGTGACCTAACTTTCATGTATAAGCATTTCAAACAATAGATTACTATTCTTAATATCAGTGTAGATGACAAAGATGAGGGGGAAAGGGTAGAACTGATAAGATTTTTCAACAAGCTGGCACAGAGCAAAACAGGCTATATTTTAAACTTCAGATTAAAATATTCTTCAGGGGATATACAAAGTAACATTTCACAAACTCCCAAGATACATGGAAGATAAACATTTGAGCATTCATACAATTGGATTTTTAGTTTCTGTGAGCATAGGCTATATCTGCATGTAGAGGAAGACTCAGTTTGGAAAGTGCAAGAAAGGTGCACAGATGATCTTTGTGTTTCTAGTATGAACTCAATGCACACACAGGCATGAGTTACAATCAAATTTAGCAACAATTTCTGCTGTAGTGCTTCCTTTTCTTTAAATATATCCTCTTATTATCTAATGAGATAGTCCAGTTTATTCTTTTTAGAACACTGATACATACTTGAACTTCTGTTCAGAGTGCAACACCTCAGAGAAAAAATCTAAATACATGATTACCTAATTATGTACTTTTCAGTCTTAAAAACAAAAAAGTCAAAGCCGTGAGTGCTGTCAGCAGCACCTCTTTAAAAACCATCTTTAGACCCATATTGTGATACTTATTACCAGAACTTAAAAAATAAAGTTATGCTTTCACATTGGCAGGGAAGTATTTTCACTCCCTCCCTTTGTCACCCCCTATTTCCTTGAATACACAGGCAACAAAGTTTGAAAATAAATGATTTAGTAGTCCCACAAGCTGCCTTGCTTTCTACAGTCATAAACAATTTGTCTTACACGGAACAATTAGTCCTGGTCCCAAGAGCTGATGAGTTGTGTAGCACGTCCATTTAACACACTGATGCAGTAGAAAACCATCAGCTTCCCCTAAGGGGTTTTCTGCCAGATCATTGGATTTTGGTATCTTCTGAAAAAGTTAAACTTAGACCAGGAGCAGCACCAGAGATACTGAGGTGCATTCTGACAGTAAGATGAAGGAGAGGAGATGCCAGATCTAACTCAAGCTGTTTCGTCAATTCAAGGATTCTTATCCTAATTAAATCTAGTACAGGAGCTAGGCATGAAATTTAGGTTATACATCGTGTTTATATTTAATGAGAATTATTGGATATTCTACAGTTTTGTGGAGTTTTCTGTGAAAAGGGAAACTAAATGAACAAAGACTATTTGCTCCAATAAAACACAAATTTAAATCAGATTTTTGATGCCAGTGTAAAATATATGTATGATACAATTTATATATACTACATTTTGTGAATATTTTGAATTCAGCAATAAACTCTAGAAAAATGTGCAAGTAATCCTGGGAGCATGAGGGGGTGTTACCCTGTTCTGTCCTTGGCCCCTGTACACGTGTCTGTCTTTGTGGTAACCTCACCTGCACTGCACTGTGTGTAAACTGGAAACCTTTTTGACAGCACATACAGAATCCAGATCTTGACTGCTAGAAAAACGAATCTCCAGGATGATTTATTTCTTTTGGAAAGATTTTCCTTCTGAAGTGATCCCTGTTCATTTGTTCCTTCGTGCCACGTGCTGTGTTAATTGTTCTTGCTTCTGTACACAGAGCAAAGTGTCAAGAGGACAACTCTGGGTGGGGACCTTGCTGTTAAGAGCCCAGGATCACAGGGAACTGCCAGTTCACATTGTCTTCTATGGACAGGACAGTTAAAAAGCTAGAGAAGCCACGTGAGGTCCCATGAAAACCAGAACCATCTACTTATAAAGTAAGTACAAATGCATTACACGTTTTGAAAAGGGCCTCTACAGAAAGTCAGCTGTTAGTTAAAGCTGCAGTACAGGCAGCTATTTATCATAAAGCTGATAATTTATTTGCTCATTTAATGGTTAAAAGAAAATAATCTTCTTCCAGTGTAGGATAGTTTGCTTAAGTATTTACTTTACATACACTCTGAAGAAAGAACGAGCAAACATGAGAAAATGATGTATTACGTTAGATTTGTTCAGTAACCTATTTGGTACAGTAAACCTTGGCTAAACCTAACAAGAAAACAGAATACAGCTAGGACAGATGGTTATAGAGTTGGCGTGTCTACAGAATAAGTTTCTTTTAGTAATGTCAAGTGAACATTGGTTTCTGTCCAGGCAGAGAGTTTCTGTTGTAGATTTAAAAAATCATTGTACAAGTTCTGATAAATTCACAGCTTATATTACTAATTTCACTTGACATCCAGACATGAGGAACATTCAAGTAAAACCATATTGACTCTGAGAAATGACAAATTAGAAAGTTCTTGTTTGTGGAATGGAAGAATTCTACCACCACGATCTTACCTGACTAATTAGCAGTCTGAGGAATGGTTCAGTTGTGTGCACTGTCTTTCAAGGTGCAAGTGTCAATCTAATTAGCTAGCCAGAATCAATCAGACTGCCTAAGTGCATCAGTTATTACAATTCTGAATAAGCATGGCAGTTTTTAAAAAGTATTCATTGTTTAAACATGCTTTAGTCTGAATTTAGTTTTACTCTGCCTTCAGGGATTCACTGAACTTGACAGCAGACGCGAATGTTTGCTATTAACTGTGAATTAATGGAACTTCATACAACAGTACATTACTGTCAGAGTGCAACAGATGTCCTAGCAGAAACGCTGAAAGTTGCATTCCAACAGCTATTTCTTCAGGGGAAAAAGACACCAGCTTCAAAAATGATATGCTTAATTTACATGTTTATCTTTAGGTGCTGTTGCCTCTGACCAAGAACAAAAATTGTTGTCGGAATAATATGCGAACAGGTAACTTCCTCCAAGTCTTTACTTGGATACATACATCTATATAACTAGAATTCACTGAAATTGCATTGATTTTGGTAGCTGACACTGGGACTGTCACAACTGCTCTGCAGAAACGCCATCCCTCTCTAGTTTACCAGCCAGTGGTACAAATCCTGTAAGATGTTTGCTTTGATCAGTCCTAATATTTCAATTTGTGATTGGTTAGTGTGCAGTGTAAAGCTGCTTACAAATGAGCATTCACCGGCCCCCTTTTACCTTCTACCAATATTTCCCACTCCTATCCCTCCCTTTTTTGTGTTAGCAGTCTAGTACTTTAGCCTCTGGACTAGGCAAGACAGCTGAGTCAACATGTGGATTATCAGGGCTGGCTGGCTCTTTGGGGTTAAGATGGTATTGAGCCTTCATTTGCATTTTTTTAAAGTCAGGACAGTCAGGTTACAAAAGTTTAAATACAAACAGACAAGACAGTTTAGGGACACAGCACTGTACCAGCTACTAGGAAGAAAATTAACTCTGTCCCAGCTGAAACCAGGACACCTGCATGTCCTCAAAAGGAATAATTAAGAATAAGTGTATTTAGAGGCTGCTATTACCTCAGTCAGCTTTAAGTATTCAGTCTAGCATTAGAAAGAACAACCTCATTTTATTCCTCTTCACTTCTTCCACCAAAATCCAACTTTTTTAAGACATAATTTTATGTCCTACTTCTCTTAAATCTCTCACATAGAAGGTGGTATCAAAATACATACTTATGTGTTATGTACAACAGACATTGATAGAGTTCCATTAATTTCAAAGCTAAATCTTTTGTATTTTTTTAATTGCCCATCATCTCTTGACTTGTTAAACTTTTCTATCTTCATTATGGAGTCTGACTGTAGTATACATTTGACTTTCAAAGCACATAATTTGCATTTTAAAATTAATATAATGTATTGACTTACCTCATGAAAAATCATAACACATTCACCAATGCTAATGTAATTGGGTTTTGGCTTGTATTGAACCCCTTCTGATTTCCCAGTATACTCTTTTGCATCATTGACTATTGATTTAAAGGGATAAACTGGTGCTTTCACACTTTCCTGTCCACAAATACAGAACTCTAACTTTGAATTTTGCAGCAAGCTACTGCATTGCAATATCACAAGTGTGGAGTACAATAATATCTATTTTTGTATTGTAGCAAATTACAATTTGTTAGTAACATTTTTTCCTAGTGTTAAAGCTTCCTGCATTTCTTTGATTGTCTTTCATAATTCTAACATCTACGTTATACTGTATTACTCAGGTGGTTTTACTAATCAGTAGCAAAGTATTAAAACACAAAATAGAATTAAAGAAAAGCACAACTGGATGGAAAAGGGGTACCTGATCCAGGTGGACATAGAGGTTTCTTCAAGTTTCTCATTACTGCTAAAATTAAAGTTACCATTTTCCCCTTAGTATTGGAAGAAAAGTCTATCTCTAGAAAGAAATAGCCTGTAGAAAAACTGTCTGTAATTACAATCAAAAAGGTTTCAAAGGCTTCCTAGGCACTTTTTGTTCTCTCTCTCCACCTCTCTCACTTTTCTCTAATAGACCTAAGAGAAAGTGCCTGAGGTATTTTGCCAGAAGAGAAATGTCTGGTTGGGCTGCAGAGCTGGTCCTTGATACAAAGATCACACCTTACCAGTGCTCGTTCTCCCAAATGTTCCAAGGCATGAATGGCTCGAGGCATTTAGCATTCTTCAGTACTCTGCCCCTATGCCAGTGTGAGACAGGTCTATTTCTGCATAAAGATGAAGAAATAGAACCCACGAGGCAGGACTTTAAGGAGGCTAACAAATTCTCATTAATTCTCATGAGAATTTCTTTGAAACCTTTCCATGAGCTGTTCAAAAGGATTTTTCTGCGGGACCTACCTTCTATCATCTTACTTCTCCTTCTGCTAGAATTTCAACAGTTAACTCCCTCAGACACTTAACGGAGTTGAGAGCAGGTCAAAGTTGAGAGTTTTGTTTTTCTCACTCGATTCTTAAAATTGTATAGATATTCTATCCACTGTTGATGTGTTCAGTGCCCTCTCTTCATTTAAGGAAGGATGTAGCATTCAACTGAACTACACTCTCACAGGAGGTCTACTGTTATGTTTGAATAGACTAAAATGAACTAAGGTGTAGTTCTTGTCTAAAAACCTCTTTGTTTTCTCCCGTTCCCATTTTATTCCTATTGCAATTGTACAATTACCCATACAAAATAATTTTAAAAGTCTTTTAATTGTGAACTTACAGTAAATGAATTGCCAGCAGACAAGCACAGAAAGCTTCGGAGTTAAAATAAATTTCCATTTAACTTCTAACAAGATAGGACAGAACACACATTTCTGTGCAACAAGGTCAAACATGAACAATCTTTCCAGCCTTTCTTCTCCCTCCTCCAGCTTCCTAATTTATCTGCACACAGGCAAGAAGGTCCAGTTACCATTTGGATGCTGGCACTCCAGTAACAGGAGCATGAGACTGAATTCCTCTTGGGCCCTGGGCTATAACTATCTTCATCTTAAAATAATGTAAGGACTTTACTCACACTTCTGCATCAATATGCTGTCATAGAAAGGGAAGAATGTAGGAAAAGAAGGGAGAGTAGAATTGGTAGAGCTGGCCTAGAGGATAGCAGGATGCACAGTGGTTTTGTTGCCCAGAGGTAGAAGTAGCTGAGCATTTCTGCCACTCTTAGAAAAGCCTGGCTTATTTTACATAAGAAGTTGTAGAAGGTTTCTCCAGGGTAGAATGTCTTACAGCCACACTTCTTACTTTTTTTTTCCCTCCAGGAATAAAGGGGAACCATAACTCTTTTTCTTGAAGGACAAATAAGAAAACTATAATCTTGATTCCTCTTAACTCTATGTTATGTATAGAACATGTCTTCTATACATAAATAGTGACACAGCAGAATTCTGGTTTTCAGAACTTCTGGGAAAAATAACAGCAAGAACACCTGAAGTGTGAGGCAGCACATGACTATCACCCCTGTGATGTCAGAAGACTGGTCTATTTTTGTTTTGATACTGTGGTTTCATAAGATGGAAGAAATATATAAAAATATTAGATGCATATATATGAAATGAGTTACTGATGCATTAAATGTGTCATAAATATATTCAGTCCAACTTCCAAATTTAGACTGCTTTCAGGAAGAGTGAAGTGGTACAGTTAGATGTGCTTTTTAAGCACAAAATGGACAAGTGCTGCTACAAGTGCCAACATTACTGTCCTGCATTTGGGGTGTTCTCAGAATGCCTAGTTATGTTTAACACACTAAGAATTCATCTAAGAAGCCTACTGAGTTAGGAGGAAGCCTTTTTGAGATCTGTGCAAATGATATTCTAGCCAGCACTCCTGTACATAAGTGAGTGCTTGCAGGCTGTGTCTGGTTTGGCCACTGAGAATCAGGGTGGGGAAAGCCAGGGCTGTCCCAGTGTGCTGCATTTCAGCTGTAATGCAGCCCAGAGCAGTCTCAGTGTCCTTACCTGGGGCTGAGTGCATCTGGACTGACTGACTGACTCTATGGCAGGAGCTAGTTAAGCTGAAGGTAGTTTGTGCCACTGCAACAGGACACAGCAGACTTCGTGTAGGTCACCATGTGAATCACTGTACTCACTATGGTGAGTGGTCAAATGCAAAGGCAGTAATGGAGAACTCCTCACTGCAAGAGCAAGTTTGATTTATTCCAGTTTATCTTTTTCATGTCTGATATGGTGATAAATTTGTGATCTTTTCTGGATATTGTTACATGAAACTGTTCTGCAAAACAGTGCACTGTGCTGCTGGCCTGGAAGGCAAGACCTATACCTTTTTTGCTCATAGGCTGGTTTCATTTGGGTGGTAGTTTATTTTTGTGTTTTTGGTTTGAAGTCTGTTTTTCTCAGTGGTTTTTTTTGGTCTTATTTTTAAGATCATGAAGAACTCTGTGGCACCAATTATGGATCTTTTTGTCTAAATGGAGGGATTTGTTATATGATTCCTACTGTATCCAGTCCATTCTGCAGGTCAGTGAAACTGAAGTTTGTGTGTCTAAGTATTGGACAGTAGCTGTCTAAAAACTATTTCTCCATTTTCCTTCTTTAAGGAATCACTTCTAAAGCATTATCTAAAAGAAAATACCAATTACCTATTAGTTACCTAGTTTACAGAGACATGGCAATATGAGAAAAATAAATGTGTATACTTGGTGTACTTGCTTGGCAGATGGAACAGTATTCAGTTATGTAGGCATTCAGGATGGTATCTATAATTAGAGCCATATTTCCTTGTTGCAATACAGAAAGAACAAAATACCCTTTGGCTCATGGAATATGGAATGCCTTTCCCATTACTGTGGGAAAGGCATTCAGAAAGGCAAAGTACAGTTTTTCTTACAAATTAATTATGTTGCAAAAATTTTTGTAATATAAAATGGCCTGACCTGAACAAATGCAGAGACACAAAAAATAATATAATCTTTTAAGAGGGGAAAAAAAAATGTAATTCAAGGCTTACTGTCTTCTTGGAATCATGCTGAAATACTCAAAGAGCAGCTTTATAGTGACAGCCAAAGACTACTTGGTAAAGAAACATCAAGGCAGCAAATACTTCTTACACCACTCCATAACAGAACCATTCTTCCTTCTGAAGCCTGGTAGCAAACTGGAAAAGAAGCACTTCCTGGTTTTGCATGTGGATACATTTCCTGCATCAATACTGCCCTATCTTTTTATTCTCTGGTTTAACAAGACATAAGAGGCTAAATAAAACTCTTACTTTTCACAGTCCTGCATTTACTAATTCTGAGTTATCATTCATGAGACTAAATTATAGCTGATTTAATGCGTTTGCTTAACAAAAAAATAGGCATTCAGACAAATACTAGATAATATTATCTAATATTTGACAATATTATAGTGTTGTTGTATTAAATATAATATTTAATATAACAATATTAAATATTATTTATTTAATAGTATTATATGAAGGATATATCCTTAATGTAATAATATTCTATTATTATAAGGATATTATATTTTTTCTTCTGTGGCAACTTCTGTTCCCTCCTCTGTCTTGAGCTATAACTATTGATAACTGGATAAAACAGTTGAAGAAGGAAACAACATCTTTTCTCAGATGCCTAATTAAAATATTACTATCTTTTATTTGGGACAGTTCAATCTAAATACTTAAACTCAGGCACGTAAACTCATTTAGTTAGGCAGGGAGAAAAGAGGGAATTTTGTGGTAAATGCTCATTGAAAAATATACACAGCATATCACTGTCATTGTTCAGTGTCACAATGAATCAGATCCAGAAGTGAGATTAAAGCTCTGAAGTGCTGTATGATGTTTATTCGATGTGCTAAACCTTGCAAGCTTATGCAGTAAAAAATGAATACTACACAAAAAAGTAAAACATTTTGAAATACATTGGATTTTTTTTTCTAGAAGGAATCCTGTATTATTGTACATAAATGAAAAATGAATGGTTAAATTAAAGAACAGCAGTTACACAGTTTCTAAGCACCCTCTCAACTACTGCTGGACTGTGTAACAAGGAATATGTATTCAATGCAATAACTATAAATATGAAGTAACAGATTCTCAGAAAAATTCATTCTTCAGGAGCACAAACCAGTTAGCATAGATAATTTCCACCTTAATATCTACAAATGAAGTAATTTTCAATTCAGGTACTATAGGATTTTATAATCTACTGAAGGAGAAAAATAACATCTTAAGAGCATTTTTGTTATACTCAGGCAATCTTATTGCATTTAAATTATCAAGTATTTTTTTCTGTATCTAATGGTTGATTATGAAGTTAGATGGGCTTAAATAGCAGCATTCTATTTAAGCACATCCTCATTCCAAGCATGTTCCTTAATCAGTCAGAGAAGGCTAATTATAGATGAGAAAGGTTTTGTTTACACACAGATATCTTAGTAATCAGCAGTGATGTGAATAGAAACAACAGAAAAAATGCATCACTATTCAGCAGAATTCAGAAAATATTTGGTGCTTTGGAGCTTCAGGACTGGCATCATCACACAGTTGTGCAGTTTCTTTGATGAAGGTTTCTGCCAAATCCCACCCAAGTTCCCCCGTGCTCTCAAATGATCATGTCTTACTGAAAGAAAACTCAAAGCATTTTTAGAGTCAAGGGCTGAATGATTGTTAATTATAAGGAGGAGATGGAGAAAGAACAGACCAGCAAACTGTAAAAATACCTTAAAACACATTTGCCTTGACATAGTACTTGGTCACACAAATGTGTTTGCTCAGCAGAGTTAGTCCGGATTTCCCTATCCAACATCACTGGAAGTAATTTCACCATGTGACTAAGAAAAATGCATCATTCTTTAGAAATATGTGTTTTGTAGCATGCTAAAAATGAAGAGCTACTGTTTATCTTTGGAATTTCAGGGTTTTTTTATTAATCAGAAATAGATATATACAATGCAGAGATTTAATACCTGCTGAACATTAATTGACAACCCCTCTCCCATGTGCAACAGTAGCAGATTTTAAATAAAACATGAGGTTGCTCAGCTTAATGCAGAGATTTAATATCTGCTGAACATTAATTGACAACCCCCCCCCCCATGTGCAACAGTAGCAGATTTTAAATAAAACATGAGGTTGCTCAGCTGCCATCTTCCCTCACTGCTTTCCCAACAAGGAGTTCATGTTCTCAGCAGTAAAAGGCACACCTGTCACCATAAACCAGATGAGCTTCAAACCCAGGAACACTCCAATGAACTAAATAAACAGGCAGCAGGACAGAGGATGGAAAAGCAGCTGCCTCAGGTGCATCATAAAACACAAGGTGGAAAGGTGTTTGCCTCAGCACCTGATGCACAGCTGTCCCACAAACACTAATTAATGCACTGCAGAATCAAGTGAAGATTTTGGTTTCTGAGGGGAAGCTCTGGTACTCTCTTTTTTTTTCTTACACTTGGCAGATTTCTGAGAACATTCTTTCTGTATGTCAAGCAAAATACAGATGGAATAAGACAACACACAGAGAGCTCTGCTTCAGAGGGCAGTACACACAGAAATTAACAGTGAATGCTCTCATGTTGGGACAGGGATCCTGCTCTGCCAAGAGCTAAGTACTGCAAGAGACACAGGCAGACCTTGCAAGTCTCCTCCCTGAAATGCCTGTGTATCTTCAAGGATCTCTTCCTTTTTCCCTTCCTTTGCTTCCATCCTAATGGAATCTCTCCTCCACCTTTCCTATGGCAATCCAGTAAATCCCATACAAATTCCTTCCACCACTTTCTGTGTCCTCCCTCCTTGCCTGGCTCTCTGCCATGGCCCTTCATTCCCCATTTCAGGCATCCCACACATCATACACTTGCTGTGCTTTCAGCCTTCAGAATATGCACCCTACAAGTTGCCAGGGAAGGGCTTCCCAGTCATCTGGGCTTTTCTTCTTCCTCTGCCTCCAGAAACACACTTTGATGTGCCTCAGGCTCTTTTGAAAACAAACTGTCCAGTTAGTATTTGTCAATTCTGCTTTGGGCTTTTTTGAAAGGTAGTACCGAAAGTTAGAATACACACCAAAAGTGTAGCTAAAAAGAGTCAGTAATTAGGATTTCTTTTTAATGGGACATAAAATATAAAGCACAACACTCTCTTACGCATTTGAAAACTATTAGCAATCCAAATTAATGTCACTGCCAGGCAGGGAAACCTTCCCATATAAACACCTAGCTAAGGGAGGGGAGAATAAGCCATTCTTTTAGAGAAAAATAACCCATTCTTTCAACTTCTCTCCAATAGAAGCATTTTATTTTATTCTCTGTGTATATAGAGTAACAGTGTTGAAACTTCTTTAAATGCAAAACTTTTTAAAAGGTTGCTTAGTTAAGTAATGAACTTTGCCATTGCTTATTCACTTTGGCTCTAAATGCTTTTTCATACTTACTAGATGTTCTTAGACTGTATGTATTAGGACAACTTTTAGGACTCTGCTACAGACTGAAGATTATGTTGATTTTGAAGTTATCAGCCATGTAATCTGAACTGCATTAACAAGCAGATAATTTCTCGTCTTTTTCTGCTCAGAGCTTTGTATTTACATGGAAATAATTTCTATACCAAGAAGTATTTAAAATTTTCCTGACTGATGTCTAAATGAAAAGTCAAGTCAACACCCTGATAAGTATAATGCAAAGCAGTGACAATCTGTGTGCATATTTGACTCAAATTCTACTTCCTAGTTTTACAGTCTGTCAGATACTTCCTTATGATGCCTACCTTAGAGTCTGGCAAAGAAAGAAACTTCACCTTCTTACTAAATCCCAGTGCCATAGGATCATTTGCACTGTCCAACAAACAGCATCTGAAATGAACAGTAATGCCTGTGTTACTGCAAGGTTATTAGGTTTTATTTACTAATCAGATTGTAAAGGATCAATGTAATTGCAGACCTGCTGGTCATCTCCTGACATCTTATCCAATGCAGTGTATTTTCTTCCACCTTGCATTGATGCTGACATGATTAATACCCTGTGCTGCAAGATTCTGTGGATTTCTTTCCTTATGCTGGTGTTTTGTCTGGAGCTCCTATAGGACATTTGTATACAACAGTTAAGGCTGGCTCATCTCATCTGACAAGAGGGGTGTGTGTGTGCACGTGTGTGCAGCCATCCAGGAGAGCAGAAATCTGGATGCCAGCTGAAAGTGGGAAGTTTTAGTCACAGATTTCCCTCAAACATTGAAGTCTGCTGTCTTTCAACTCCGAATTAGAATTTCAATTTTCTTAGAGGGGGGAAGACCCATTCCATTTTAAAAATCAGCTCTGGAATGCTGCACATCAGGGCCATTTCAAGGCAGCACGGGGCATGTCCAGCAGCAGCAGGTTAACAGCAGCAGGTTAACAGGTTAACTGGCCAGGGAACACAAACTCAGTGAGTGCAACTCCTCCTCACTGCAGCCTGCACCAGGCTCCTCTGGGTTTTGCCCCAGCTCATTCAGGAGCAGGTGCACCAGTGCCTGCCATGCCAACAACTGCTCTTAACTTGTGTGCTACTTTTAGGCATCCCTTACAAACAAGATAAAGGGAGTTGCCACTGGCTGTGTACAGCAACACTGAGTGCCTCTAGGAGATGCCACACAGACAGCATCCTTCTGGGTTATGTTCACAGCCCACGGGCTTCTCAGAGACTGCGTTTGTGTCTCGCACGCAGTCACTGCATATGAAACTCCACTGAAATTATTGGAGCTTTGCTAGTGCAGCAGGATAAGCAGGTCTTCTGAGAGAATTCCACTGCTAATTACTGAAGTCTGCTTAGTTTCTTTCTCACCTATTTTAGCAAAGGACTTGCAGAAGAAACCTTTCCTGGTTGTCTTAAAGCATCAGTTGTTTCTATCTTTAACACAGGCCTTTACCTATTTGTACATCAGGAAAGGTGACTTCATAAAAGCTTGTTCAAACCAATATTTGAACATCTGAATTTCCAGAAATGCCATAACTGTAGAACAGCTTGGTCACATTAGCTATAATTTTATAATTCAAATGTAACCCAAAGATACCTCATCTTAATTTTCCTGTTTCTATGAAAACCTACATAATTTTTAGGTTATATGACAGCATTTTCTAGATAGCATGGAATCACTTTCAGCAAGTGTGTCAACAGGCCAGCCTAGAAAAAGTGGATTGGTAGTTTTGTAGTCCCTAATGCATTGCTCACAGTTAAACAGATACTGTCAAACTAGCTGGTCATATTTCTACAATTTGTTTTTGTTACAACCATGCAGAATTAATAGGTTCAGCATCCAGGATGTCTTAAGTTTGGCATGTGCTTCTTTAGTATAGGTTTTTTTCTTTTTGCTATAACCTTGGATTCATATCACTATAGTTTTCCCCTTACCATCTTAGGCCTTCAAGCTCTTTCCTCTCTTAAAGACTTGTGACATCTGGTTCTGTTTTCTGTTTTGTAGGAAGTGCTACAATCTCAGTGACCCTTTTGCTGTGCTGTCAGCACATTCCCAATTCTTTTCCTACATCCTTTGCAGAGCATGAATACAGCTTCCATGCACTGTTCACACCAACTCACTCTCCTGTATCACAGCAGTTCAGTAACCCTTACCCTTCACCTGATCTCAGTGCAGCTCTCTGCAGCTATGACTGTCTTGGCTTCCTTCTGCTATATTCTGCTCTTTAGGCTACTGACTTACTCCCTTTACACTCATTCTTTAGAACTTTTCCATGAGCCTTAATTTGATGCCAAAACCTGGTTTTTTCTTCCTGTGTCATTTTAGCCTTGCATTATTCTCCAGTTTTCATTGCTATTCAAGAATACTCCTATGAATTTCTTATTCCATTTTCTTTCCCTGTTACTCTATTCAGCTCTCCAAAGCATTTCTCTCTCACTTGCTAGAGAACAATGCCCCACTCAAGCTACACTTCTATTCTTAAAGTATTCTACAGTATTTCAGAAACAGGCCCCTGAAAAGCCACTACACTTAGAATAAATATCTGGAGCATTATCTCAAGCAATCAGAGCAGTCTGCCTACCCTTGCTTCTCCCAGCAGTGAAACATCATGACTTTGAAAAGCCTCAGATTGTCCTTAGTAAGTGCTGTCTGTTTGATCAGTTGCATAGCTTTAATATATGATGATAATTAGATGTCTTTTTTTAGTGTCTAAATCTTCTATTATGTTTCCAAAGAAAAAGAATTAAAATAAAAGGGTAGTAAGTGTTTGTGCAGTGGTTTAGGCAGCAGTACTGAAATACTGGTCGATAACCTACAGAAAGTGTAGTGGGAGTCATATCAGGCATCATGGCAGAAAACTCACAGGGATCCTTTGCTCTTAGTTAGATATGCTAAACATTCTTCTTTTTTGGCAGTTCCTCCCCTCTCCACCTTCTTACCCCTCATCTGAAATTATACCTTGCAGCTGCCAATGGCAATTGAGAACTTCAAGTATGTTGCAGAGTTTAGCCCATTTTTCTCAGCTGGAGCCTGAAATTGCTTATGTCACAGATTATTATGACTTCAGTGCCAGAAATAGCAAGAAGGAGCAAGATCTTTAGTAATACAAATGGAGAGAAGCAAATTTACATATATAAAAAATACACACAGAATCTAGATATTGAAAGAAGTGCTTCCCATTTTCTGTAATGAAATCAATTCCTTAAGAAAACTTAGCAGAATAAGTGCAAAATACATAACAAATGAAGATTAGTTTAGCTTCAACCTACCTATTTTTGGCTGAATATTAATTACTAAGCCATTAATTTTATTTATTTTTGCTAAAATATCATACCATTTTAGCATGGTAAAATACCATATACCATAATCCTTTCTTCAGAAGAAATTTACAGAAGCTCAACACATAAAATAAACATAGTAGAGAAGACTTTTATGTAGGTCTCTCCAAAAGGGGGTTATTCACCAAGCATGTAGCATGTTCTGGCATGAATTATTGCAGTGCATAAACTACTTTTGCAGTTTAAGCTGTACTGTGTCTCAATGAATTCTCATTTCCTCGATCTCTTTTGCTGACACTACCATCTTCAACAAAGGAAGCCAGAAAGTTTCCTGAAACAGGGAAAAGAAAGCATGACTCCTGTGTGAGAACCAGTGGGATGACACAGTTAACACTAAAGAAGTAGGCTTAATGAATGAAATCTGTCAGTGATGAGTATATTAAACTTAATATATAAAAGCAGTATGGATCAGAATGTAAACTTGATGCCCAACATGCCTAATTCCCTTTGTTCCAGAAACACAAGGTGAGAGGAAATTCTGTAAGAAAACTTGCTGTGAAGCAAATGTAACCTTTGAATTGAGTCATAACAAGTTCTCTAGCCAGAAGAAGCCTTTTGTGCTTTTCATCATAGATGACAAGCTGCCATCTAATCCAAATACAACTTGGTTTCCCAGGTGTATTGAGAATTACACAGGAGCTCGTTGTGAGGAAGTTTTGCTGCCCAGCATCAAATCCCAAACAAAAGGTGACCTGTTTGCAGCTTTCTTGGCTTCCCTTCTTCTTCTAGGAGTTCTTGTAATTGGAGCATTCTACTTCCTTTGCAGGTAAAAGTGATTCATAAGGCTGCAGCTATTCAATCAAGTAGAAATTTCTTCTGTTAATCATGTACTAATTATTTGAATGTAAAAGTATGTAATGAATTATCCATAAGGTTGTATGGTTATTCAGCATAATGAATGGAGATGTCTCAACTTGTTGCTTGTAATATTGACTTCTTGGCTTGAAGTTTTCTCAGTGTCATTTCTAAGCTCTTACTTACAACTGCTTTTTAAAAAATACCCCTATCTGAGATTTTACAGTCCATCTAGAGTTAGTGCTAACATTTTAAAACATTAGTCTACCTGATGTTGTCCAAAGATTGAGAAGCAGAGGTAAATTAACAAAGTGCTTAGGGATCAGAAACTGTTCCAACTGAGCTGTAACTGAAGCAGCTGGTGACATTAGCTCCTAATTCTTCTACCAATCCCAGTCTGAAATGGAAAACTAAGGAAAGAATGAAATTGAAGAATTCTTCTAGATAGATGTTTACTAGCATTTAGGACAACTCAGGGAGCTTACTATTTTGTCCAGGATGATCTGGGTTTGAGTAAAAGGCAGACATCAGTGACAGACAGAAAGTGCTGCAGGGTTGGTTTTAGTAGCATTTTAGACATATTAGGACTTGGAATAAAACCACAAAGATTTACTGGGATTGAGGCAACTGTTTGATGCTGTACATATATCACTACACTTATACCAAACCCAAACAAACTTACCATCTTCACTTGCAATGCTCTCTTTATTTTGCACCTGTGCAATGCACCTGTGTCCCTTCTTTATTTTTAGAGTACAGCACTTTTTGTAAGAACTCATTTTGCCATATACCAATAATATGTGTTTATGCATCTCTATGTCTCTATAAGGCAACTTATAGCCCCTGTAATTCTTTACCAACACAGACTTGAATCTTCTCTTTCTTCCTATACTGCATTTCTCCTTGGTTATGATAACTAAAGGTTGTTGCAATTCTGTTCTTTGTGCTCCCATGGTCACATTGCCAAATCAACTTTTCTGATCTGTGCCTTTCAATGAGCGACCTTTGGAACAGCTGGTCTAGTTTTACCTCAGCTGCTGTCATGGAAACCCACTGAATGCCAGCTTCTCCCACAGCTGAATGGATTTAGAAGAGATAGAGAGCATTTGATAAAACGGTTGATAGAAAAAAATCCCTTGTTGTAAAGGATACCCCCCATATTAGCAATTTTAATTAAATTAATTTTGCTTAGACATGGAATGCCACAGTGGTTGTTTGTTAAAAAACATTTGCAAATTACTATACACTTATTAGAATGAAATGCAGCTTAAACTAACTTAAGAAAAATTAATTGAAGTCTCATAGAGATACAGACAGTATTTCTTTAGAAGTAAAACTGTCTCTGAGAAAAGGAAAACAAAGTCTTCAGAGAGTAAGGTGTTAAAAGATACCTTTTCTTTCACATACAGTGAAATTAGGGGAAAGCTGGAGACAATCTATTGAGTTTTATGGTCCAAGTACAGAAGCTTAGAGTGACAGCAATGACAGGTCTGTGAAAAATCTTTTATTAGACAGTTAGAACATCAACTTCTCTTTACTCATGCTTTACCTAACTGGCAGAACAAGTAGTAGTGCCTCTTTATTAGCAAAATAAAAAGGGCAACAACTGAGTTATAACATAGTTGTCCTTGATCCCTATCTTACACCAGACTAATTTGGGAAATCTCATAAAACCATTATGAGCTTCTTTAGTACAGATAAAAGAACCTAACTGGCTAAAATTGTCTTACCTTTGCACTTCAGAGGCTGATGTAGGATGGTCATCTGCAAGAGAACTCATCTATAAATGAAACACTTTACATCTCTAAGTCCTTATCTCTTGGCTGAAGTGACCAACATGTGAAGAGTCTCAAGTGGACACTTTAATCTACTCTCATCTTTTCAGCTGAGTGAATGAGCATGATTGCTAAGAGCTGTCCTTAATCCCAACTTTCTTCTCAAACTTCATCTATCACCTATGTCTTAGAAGAGGGTGGAGCTAGGGCTTATAAGGGTTAGCTGAGAGTTTGCATCATCTTTGACTTGGCCTCCTGACAGGATATGTTAAGTTTAAAATGTTAAGAGACATACTGTGCTTTTCCACTACTCCACTTTGTTAACAAAGACGTTTGATCAGAGAGCAGAAAGCCTTTTTCCTGATACTGTGTCAGTGAGCATCTCCATGGCTCTTTCAGTAGAGGGTTCTAGTGGGGTTTTAGTATAAACAGTAATGTAATCTGGAGGGGTGCAGAAGAGGAGAAACTAACTGAAGTTCAGGACAAGGAAACTGAATTCCTAAAATGATACATCAAATCATTTGGAATATAGAACTCAGTGCTTTATTTTCTTGGCGGTATCATCATGCCTCCCTCCTTTCCAAGTTTTCTTTCTCTCAGACTATTTGGGGCAGATTTGAGGACCAAGCATGTGCAAGTGCATTTCATGCTCCCTAGAAACAAATCCATTCAACATACAAGGGTGGAGGTTTCATTGCTCTGCTTATAAAACTAAATAACAACTTACAGTGAAAGTAATCCATAAAAGAGTAGGGCTGCACATGAAAGCTCTGGGTGAACAGTGGGAAATAATTCTCCTTTTACAATTAACTGAGTCATCAAATTTTTATCAGCTGATGATTTGTTTTTTTCAGTCTGCAGAGCACATGGAGGCAGGGCAAACACAGACCTAGCCACTCTCCATCTTGAAACACCCCCCCACCTTCTCCAACAAACAGTGCTGATAAAGCCTGTCCTTCTGACATGGGCAAAACAGGGAAGTGTACAAAAATCCCTGCTATTACACTGCCACTGAGGAACAAATGGCATATTCTGCTTCCAGCAATTCACCTATCAAACCAGGTCCATCTGGTCTTCTTCCTCCAGAAACACATTTTGCCAGGGTTACTGGAAGAAGAATAAGAAAGGTGATGAGAAGAGATGCCACATGAGCCAGTTTTTCTTTAAAAGCCTAAATGCCACACTTATAGCTCAGAGGAATAGAGCAAACCCTAGGGAAAACCATAATAAATCTGCAATTAATTTCTATATTTCAATGTAAGTGCATGCTAAAATGCCAAATGACCTGTAAAGTAAGTGTAATATTGATGAACAAGAACTCAGCCAGCCAAAACAACAGGGTCTAGGAATAAAGCCATTTAAGCTGTCCAAGACAACAGACTTTGTGGAGGAGTTACATCACCACAGGACACAAACTGGACAGAACAGAGACTAGCTCATGACTCTTCTCAAGAGAGCAGATGTCTGATTACTATTAAAAGAAAGGGAACTAGACAGCAAATGATCAGTTCCATTTAGAAGACTTGCTTCTCTTCAACAAAGTGTGGAAAATTTCACATAATTTACAAACACTAAGAAAATTGATAAATAATTCTGTGCTATTTACTCATTTTTAAAATAAAGACCTAAGAAATCAGACAAACAGGAACATTACCTTCAGGAGAGAAGCCATGTAGTTCCAAATGCTGCACTGCCCTCTGATCTCTGTTCTTCTCTCTCAAACACATGCTTCTCAAAAGCAATGAGTATTAATTAGAAAGTAATTGGAGAAGATCTATGTCATTTTTTCCAATGGAAAAATCATTCTATTAATTTGTCTCTTCCCTGATAACATTTTTCACTCTGTGTATTTTTCTGTCTCTCTCTCTGTCCCATTTTTGGATTTTATGGTCAGGAAAGTTGCCATTCCACGGACAAGTTCTTCAGAGTGTGGTGCCAACCTAGTTGAAGCTACAAGCAGCAATGGCTGCAACAGTGAGTACAGTTTAAAATTAAATGACTGGACTCCACAAGAGAAGTGGAGGAGGAGGAAGTTTTTGTTATTTGAAGTCCCATGTTTTATTTTTCAGAAATAACAACAGCCTAAAGCATTAGAGTGGAAGAGTGGTGGAGAAACAACATGCAGAGCAACCCTAAGAATCTAAATTGTAGAGGGTGACATGGTAAGCAAGAAGAGAGAAGAAAGTTGATTGAAATAGGAGGCTGAGAATGTTGGAGAAGACTACATCTAAGACTTAAACAGTTGCACTTAATGGAGTTTCTGTGTACTTTTAAAACTGTCAATTATACAGAAATCACTATAATTTATGTTTGAATTCTGTGAGATTTTTTATGGTTTTCAATAATGCACAGCTAGATGCACGAGATAATTTTGGGTTTTACTACATGGAAAATAAATAAAATATGTTATTTTTTTCACTGCACAGAGAATATGAGATATCACAGGATTTTAGCGTGAGGTGATACTATGAATTTTTGATTGGGGTTTTTCATTTTTCATAGGCTTTCCCCAGAGGAGCTGAAGCCTGTCTTGATTCAATCATTTCAAAATTGATATTTGTGATACATGTCCAGAATTTGGCTTGTTTCAGATACCCTTACCAGATGTAGGGGAAAAGCCCCTACCTTTCTCTGTTTTCTTTTAAATTGTAACAAACATCAGAGTGAGGTACCATTGGTAGTTTATTGCCCAGGTTCTTGACACACTATTTTAATTGAAATTAAAGGGAAATATTAAGAAAATAGATTGATAATGGTTAAAAAAGCTTTTTAGGCAGAGTTTGGTGTACATTCCTAATAGTAAGCAAGACATCTTCCTTGATGGTTTTTAATTTTGTCTGGCTTTCTTCTGAAAATCTCACTACTGAAGGAAATTCAAACCTTACCTTGAATGTTCCAGTTGATATTTCAGATAGCAGAAGTCAGGAATTTTGTTCATCAGGTCAATTTCTGACACTGAATATTATCAAGACAGGTATCTTGGCTGAAAAAAATGCTGCCCTCTCCAAAGATTTATTTCTTTTATTCACATAAGCATCAGGATTGTATTAAAGGGAAGATTAGCTGAGAAAATTCATTTATTGAAAGGAAGAAAATTCAGAACAGAGATTTCTTTTGTCCAAAAGAAACAGTCTGAAGGTGTATAAAAACATAGATGCAGAGAAAACATTGAATAAGCTTCTATTTCTAGGATGTCTACTACATGCTCTGGTGTCAGAAAAAGCAGTGTGTACTTTGTGTCAGTGGAGACAAAAGCCCAGTGGGAGGGGGAAGAGGAGGCACGTGGGTACAGTGCATAAGGTGAGAAGTCAAAGAGAAATCACATCACAGTGGCTACTAGAACACAAACCAGAATGTTTTATTACCTTCTGAAAACTTCTGGCAGAGAGGTCAGAGTCCAAGTTAGAGCTCAGCATGTGAAAGGAGAATCTGAGGACACCAAATCAGGTAGAGGACTTGATCCAGAGACTAAGTTATATAAAGCACTAGAAGATCACTTTCTCCCCAGATTAGCCAATCATACATGTTATTTTCTGGACTTCAAATCTTTAGCAGATAAGCTGAAAAGCTGATAATATTGTTTTAAAGGCTAGGAAAGATAGAAGTTATTTTTTGTCACATAGGGACAGGCCACTGTTGTACAGAGTTAAGAGATGTGTAGCAGTACTGACAGCTACACAGAATCAGCGTCACCTGAAGTGACTTTGCCCAGCCTCGGTGAAAATGAATCAGAGATGACACCTGGTAGATCACTTTGCTGTGTTATTGATCATAAAACAGTCAGGCTCACAGCTTGGTATACTGCCTCCACTGAAGAAGGAAAAGGCTTGCAGTCATTCAAGTGGCAATTCAGGAAGGAGATACTAATAGAAGATACAAGAAATAAATGGACTGAAGTTATTCTGTATAAGCTCTCAGCTTTCTAGACAGACATGGAATAATCATTGTTACTGAGCTTATTTGCATTATTTGAGAAACAATCTGTATAAAAAGTGGGGCTGAATAAACTGACCCCATGTTTAAATGAGAACAAGCTGATTTATAAATCACTGTTACCTGTGAAGGAAATGCTATTAACGATTCAGACACCTCAAACCCATTGCATCTGAGAACATTTCAGCTTCTAAAATGATTTCAGTTCACAAACTTTGTGACTATGACGTTCAAATCAAAATGGCATCAGGCTACAAATTCATTTTTAAGGTGGTCAAATGTCACAGAAAGTACAGTGTAGCCAACATTATATATCATTTAATAAAATAGTGCAACACTCTTTAGCAATGATTGCTTACAAAATTAATGAAGTAGTCCTGTGAGCAATTAAGGAAACTCCAGATCCAATGGATCAGATCTCGTGGTTGGAGTCACTGGAGTCTTAAAAATCATTACACGGTTATGAAAGGGTGAGTAATAAGGGCTCTCTCTGGTCTGTTTGACTCCTATTTTCATGAAACACAAGATCTCATATCTTTGAAATTACCTCTCCACCAGCTGAAAGGTTATGTAGGGAAGAAACTGGAAAACACTAATTTCCTAAGAAACTCCAGTACAATGATTAGATAACAATCTATTAGAGTGTTATGGCAAAAATTCTTTGATGCCTGGGGATCATGTTATCCTGCCAGAACCTTGTAGTAAAAGTCTCTTCATAATATATCACAAAAACCTTTTGATCATTTGCAGAACTGACAGCCATTAGCAGGAAATCTCTTTATAGACCTATAAATAAGAGGTTGCTTATATGTTACTCAGTATAGAATTTTTTTCATTAGCAGCCCAAACAAACACTGGAGCAAAGTACAGTTAAATTAACAGGTCAAATGGCTTTTCAAAGAAAAGAAGGATTTCTCTGTGCTGCATAGTCTTTTGAGCAGAAAAACCAACAGAAGTCCATTTGGTAGCACTCCCTATTTTAAAGATAACTTCAATGTTGTGCAACTCCTTCAAAATTTGCTGCACTAAAAGAAAACATTTTCCTTCTGGCTCTGAATTTTTGAAGAAATTTAAAATTGGAAAGCCAAGAAGAAATGGAGGATAGAACTTCTCACAGCAGAAATGGTCATTATTCTAAATTACCTGCTTATGCTTATCCAAGTCTGTTCTTGCTCTCCTGGCAACTGTAGCCTGTTCAACATAATCTGTATGTAAGGCAAGAGATCCATTTCATGATAGCAGAGCAGGCAATACAAACCCTGTGAAATACCAATGAAATACCAACTGCTGCTCAGTTCCATCTTTGACACTGATCCTCTTAAACCTTTCGGCAGGAACCCTTTCTAGAGCTGCAGAACCTGAAATGACAGAGGATACTGCTGGTTTTGGTCCCCAGATTAAAGCCACAACCAATTTTTAACACTTTTTAATGCACTTCTATGTCAGTTTCTGTACCATTTAAAAACTTTTTCTAGTGCACATTAAAAGAGACTGTTTTCAAATTTTCCTCTCAATGCAAGTAATACTTCATCTAAACTTCTGTGTAGGCAAACAATGGACTGCAAAAATCTGGGTGAGCTTCCACTGGTGACATTTTTTAAGAGGACTGGATCACTTCAATCTATGTTGTACATTCTCCATCACAGAGTTTGCTGCCATTCAGGTATTTTCACCAGTTCTGAAGATTCCAGGAGTTGCTCTTTTGAGAGGATTATTGTTTGCCGTCACCGTTGCCATATTGACAACTCAGCTAAGATGCATTTAATTCAAAAAAAGCTGTTTCTAACTCTCATAGCTGTGAAAATTTATCATGGAATGGTGACATGACCTGCCACTGACTCAGTGACGTGAATCTTGAAACATTTATTTTCAGAATTTTGTGCTACCTGCTCAGGGAAGATATACCTGTGAGATGTAATGATGACAATTTATATATTGTATTTCAAAAGTATTTAGAAGCACAAATCTCAATGATTTGGGAATAATTTTTTTTCACCTAAGTTATGAAAGCACTTGGAAAAAAAAAATCTAATTAGCTATTTCTCTGCTGATAATTCTAATGTAAGTATCCAGGTGATATCACTTCCAAATAATCCAAGCCTCTGTCAGGCATTTCCTTTGAGTTTCCAATTTCTCACTGTATGTTCTCTTTAGAGGAATACCCCACACTGTCCTGAAGTGCTGGTAGCCATGGAATAATGAATTAAAAGACCCTACAATATTTAAACTTCTATTTGTTTGACCTAAAATAGGACCAATGCACACCAGCAGCAGAAGTAAGCTTGGTTTACCTCACTGCTCACCTTGGAGCCTACAGTTCAGAACCCCTCAAGGCTAATCTGAAGTCCTGCTGAAACAGCCTCTCCTGAAGCTGCCTGAGAAATGGGCTTAGCAACAGGGAAAACTGCAGATGATAATTAGACTCAAACAACTGTGTTACCTGCATTTGTCTGCAGAACATACAACTGCTCTATTAAGATTAAATGGATTTTAGAGATACACCAGAGATTCATAAAGTAAAAAAAAATTCTTCGCCACCATGAAATCATGAAAAATAATCAGACAGTGGAGGAAATAATTACTTTCTTAATGTTTGCAGAGTGCTCAGAAACTCTAGGAGATCCTATAAAAGACCACTTAACTGTACACTTAAGATCTTTGTAACTTCTAACTATGCAAACTTCTATACTTCAGATGTTATTTTTCTGTATCATTCTGTTGAGTAAAACAGAAGCAGATATCTGAATGACAAAAGCTTTTTGCTTGTTCTCTCACAGGGCCAAACACCAGAAAACTTAATTCCAATTTCTGATATGAAAGCTAAGAACCCCTACCACAGTTACTTCTAGTAGAAAGTTCTCAATTTTTAGAAAGAAAAATAGAAACTAATAGGGGGTAATGACAGTAAGTTTTGAGGTAAATTTTTTACAAAAAATTAATTCAGAATCATATGTAACTATTTGTTCTTAAAAGTTTTGCTCCTCTTTATCAATTTATTCTCACTTTATTACAACTGCATGTTACAGAAACATCCTATAATGAGGAGATCTTTGGGTAGTAACTTTAAAATAAAAGTGATAGCAGTAATAGCTTTATGTTTGGTAGTTGCTGCTTTAGTTGTGTGAGTACAAGGTTATACATCACAATGCTTGCCTATTATTTTTTTGTGTTTTTGAAACCTACAGATCAATTAATTGAATGATGCATGAAGAACAAATGTGCAGCAAAGCATTCATATTCAAACACTGGAAAAAACAATGTCTTTACCTTTTGGAAGCAAAACCGTCATTCCTCCCTGCAGGTCTTGTGACTTTGCAAGTTTTACCTTTTTTGTAACAAAACCAAAATCCAGTTGTGGTCACTTAGGGACTCAATTCTCTTGCTGGAAACACGTTACTGTCAGCACTGTAACTGCAGATAAACCTTTAGATATCTTTTGAGTAATCCTGCTATTTACATTTGCCTTAATTGCTGAATACTCATTTAAGTAACTTTAACCACTTTAAAACCTCATGCTTGCTTCTTTTGAGTGGCAGAATTACAAATGTTAGCACTGCAAGACTTTCTATCAATTATATCTGCCTTTTGGTACATGTACCTTGTAAGTAAATATATTTGGGGTTCTCTCAGTTGTTGTGGTTGAAGAGCAAGTAACAGCATGGAGGCAAAATTAATTTGGATAGCAAAACACTTTAATGACAGATGTTGCAATTTTACCACTTACACCATTTCCCTGTCACATGGAAGGCATGATATGGCCTGGGACAGACATTCTAGTGGTTCCAGCTATGTGCATGGTTCTGTGGTATTCATCTCCACACTTCTTCATGCTGGAGAAGGATTCCTGGATTCTGATGCAGACAACCCCACCCTCCACCCCCTTTTCCGTACTGTGTTTACCTCTGAAGATTCCTCAGCTACAGGACCTGCTGACTGTCCCCTGCAGACCACCCTGGTGGTTCTGGTTTAGCTGTGCCATCATCTGAGCTCACCATCAACTCCTCTGGCCAAGTCTTTATTGAGGACACGTGGTTGATCACTCTTTGACTGCTCCAACACAGCAACCAGTTAACCTTCCTAGGCTGCTCAGCATGGCTGACGGCACCAGGAACCTATCTGCATTACAGAAATGAAACATTTCCTTTCTGTCCTGTTAAACATGAAGGGCCAAATGTGACATTCTGGTTATGCTAAAATAACACACATCACCTCCCACCAAGGGGCTTCTCGGAAATTCAGCCGTACTCCACTTCCAGATACCTTTCCCTCTAAATGAAATAACTAAATGTTGTCCAAGTCACACTCACACTTAGTAATCTTCCATCCACAAATTGCCACTGGGAGTTCACAGCTCATACTATCTTCTAATTAAAAAACCCCCATCATCAATACAGCCATGGGGAAGTGCTGTCTGTGCTCAGATGACAACAGTTAATGCTCAGATACCCCCCTACTAAAGCTTGCTAGGCCAAGTTTAGGAAAAGTTTTAACTAGACATGGACATAAAATTGCTAACTGAAGTCTTCTTCCTTGGTACATTTAAAGCAAAACTTGTTACTTTGTTACAACATACAGGTAAGTATTTTCTTACTACACTGAAAATGGGCCAGCTGCCTGATTTAGCTTTTAGAAACCTGGTGATATGGTGCAAAATCAATCTTAATTTCTTGTCATTCTATTACTATGTGAAAATAAAAGAGAAGAAAGAATTTAAAAAACAGCAAATATATATTAAGTACACTGAGACTATGCTGAATTTACTTACTTGATACTGCATGCCAGCTGCAGCAATCAAACAGGTGACTGATGTAAAAGCATGGGAAAAACATACAGAAGCACAAGTCTTACTTAAAGTCTCTATATAAATATAATATAGCCAGATCTTGTGTGTCCCACAATTCCAAATTTAAGGACAAAAAACTTCTTATAAAAACTTAAATATAGATAGATTTATTTCTAAGCACCCTGGATTTAAAAGATTGTAATCACACTACAGGAGAAGAGGCAACCACTATATTCTGAGCCACACAGCTGAGCAGCTGAAATTCAGTTCAAGGTGGTGAGCCCACCTGAACTCTTAGCTGGACAACATCTTTAAATCAGAGCTTTCCCTAAGAATAGAAGGAAAGGTACTTTTACATACTTCTACCTTTATTTAACAAGTACTTTGTTACTTTTCTCTAAAGACTTTAATTGATTTTATCTAGTAACACTTCAATTTTGCAAGTAGGATTCTGGGAAGGTTCTGCATCTCTCTAGAAATAAAATCCAGGAAACAGTAGATTTAATGCATCAGTGTTTTTTCTAGAGTGCTTTATATGCATAAATAGAGCACATCAAAGTACTGTTTCTTTCTACATTTGGGTTGGTGTTTGCCATTGACACTAAGTTAGAAGGAGCTGTCAACTCTCTCAGCGAGAGAGGCCCTGCAGAGACACTGACAGAGAGATGGGCAATCACCAGCCACGTGAAATGTAACAATGCAAGTGCTGGATTCTGCACCTGGGCAGCCCTGGTTGTGTGTAGGGGCTGGGGAGCAGGAGGGTGGAGAGCAGCTCTGGGAAGGGAGCTGAGGTTGATGGGAAGCTGTGTCCTGGCACCCAGGAGGGCCAAACATGTCCTGGGGGCATCAAGCCCAGCACCACCAGCCAGGCCAGGGAGATTGTCCTGCTCCACTCTGCTCTGGGGCAGTTTTGGGCACCTCCATATAAAAAACCATCAAGTTTAGAGTGGGTGCAGAGGAATGCCATGAGGAAGGGAAGGATCTGGAGGAGAAGCCTTATGAGGAGTAGCTGAGGACACTTGGTTTGCTCAGCCAGGAGGAGACTGAGGGGAGACCTCGTTGTGGTCTTCAGTATCTCTTCACTCTCATGACCAGTGCCAGAACTCAAGGAAGTGGCACGAAGCTGAGCCAGAGAAGTTTAGGTTGGATATCAGGAAAAAGTTTATCAGCCAGAGTGGCTGGACACTGGACCAGGCTCCCCAGGAAAGTGGTCAGAGCACCAAGCCCTGCCTGAGCTCAAAAAGATTTTGGACAACACTCTCAGGCACTTGGTGGGATTCTTGGGGTGTCCTGTTCAGGGCCAAGAGTAGGACTCAACGATTCTAATGGGCCCTTCCAATTCAGCATATTCTATGATGTGTAGAAACCATTTTCATTTTGGAAGAAAGAGGCTTTCTTCAAATACAGAATTCCATCAAATATAATTTCCTGCAATTCTGGTATGTACAGGGGACTACAAAAAATGCAAGGTTTTCTCACAGATATTACAGTAAACTCTATTGCAACTACAAGACTCAATAACATTACCAAAATGATGTTTATGTTTTGGAAGGGGCTTTGACTGCAAGATGTCCACTCTTCCAGACTTCTCAGCTCTCTGGAATGAAACAAACAGCTCACTGAAGCATTAAACCTTACTTATGCTTGGTTTGCTTTAGTTGAACCAAGGTGAATAAGAGTCATAACTGTAGTATAACCATGAAGCAGGTCATCCTTTATGTCATTACATTCTCTTAACACGAAATTCCCAGTAACTATTCGATCACATCCTATTTCCCCATGTCCAAAAAAGCCAAAGAGGGGTACATTTGGAAAAAACTTCCTAAATGCATCTGCTTCCATATTCCTTTTGGTTTTGTAATGCCTATATCCTCTGCCAACACAGGCGAACATGAAGCCAATGGTGTTGTGCTCGGGGATGTTCGCTGCTTTGAGACGCTGCATGGCCGCTTCTGCTGTCCTCTCGTCAGCCACATCCTGGTCTAGCAGGACAGTGGCACTCTGGATCTGGGGACCGCTGAAAGCCAGCCCAACCACACCGCAGGCGTCACCAGGCTGGGCGTGGTTACTGAAAGGGAACAGGCGCTGAGTTAGAGAACATTGTGGGGGCACCACTTCTCAGGAGCCTGAACTGCTGCTGCGGCAGCCGTAGGGTCAAAGCAGCCGACATTGCAGTGACTCAGATACCAATCAAAGTTAAAAAGCAAACCAAAGAGTTCATATTTTAGCAATGCTTTTATGTAGCAACCTTTCACAAAGAAAAACTTCCACATCCATTACTAGGTATTGACCATAAACTTGCTTCACTCATGCTGAACTCAGCAGTTTGTGTATGTCACAGCTCTGCAATTCCAACTGACATATCAGTTAAACTTAAGACAAGCAAAGGCACTGAGGATTTATACATCGAAGCAGGGCAGCAGTCAGTACAGGTTTTGGATTCATGTTGCTTTAAATTGGTTGGCCAGGACACATGGGTTAAGTAGTTATGTATTTAACCTTTATCTGCAGTGACTTCATTTAAAGTCAGCTCCCTTCTCTGGGGCAATGGTGCAGCTGGCAAAATCAGATGCAAGAAGAACGTTGATATTAGTATGGACTCCAGCCCCAGTGGGACGAGAGGAGCTATGGGCATGGTTGCACCGTGCTCCACAGGACCAAGTGACACATCCTTCAGCAGCCACTGTGGATCAGGTGAGCTCCTGGGGCACAGCCTTGCTGTGTGTGCAGCTACTGCTCCGTGCTGTGAGCCAAACTGAGGCAGATACACAAACACGTGTTCACATCCTGGGCTCCATCACAACAGGCACTCACCCACCTGCACTCCAGAAATGAAATGCTGACTGCAATAAACACACAAAGGTATCTGAAGCTAGAAATCTCCTTTTCATTGGATTTCTCCTAGCTGGGTTTCCAGAATCCAAATTGTAACACAGCCATGCCAAGCTTCCAGCTTTTCTGGCTACATCACAGTGTAGCAGTTGTGGCATTTTTCCCTTTAAGAAATTGTTATTTTACTACTGGTAAAGGGGATTTTCAATATTACTAGAAGGCTATGGATCTGCAATGTTTCTCTCATGTTAAATCTTTTTCATAATTTACCTTGAAAAAAATACCTACTTCTCAGAGGTCAGTGATGTAAAGCTCTCCACTTGTCCTCCAGCCAGGATGATACTTTTCTCATTCAATGGATTGACTATTTGATGAAGAAATCGAGTAGCTCCAGTCTTCCAGGAGTTGTAGCCAAACAGAAGAACAACACGGAGATCTGGGTTATTCTTCAGACCTACAAACAAAAGCCAACAC